GATAAGCATTCTTTCCTTCATGTCCTTCAGCATTCCCATTTTCCATCTCTAACCAAACATATGGAACCCATAAATTTCTTTTATGGGCCCTAACATCACCATAGAGTCCTAGATAAATCTTGAGCAGGTACTGGATGACAGTGAAGCATATTAAGGATGGAGGGGGGCGGCAGTACAATTGGCCTGATTTTAGTATTCTGCTGAATAAAGCATGTTGCTTTGAAAGTCATGAAAGATCGTTAATGTTTCAGTAGCCAGAGAGAGTACAATGCCACGAAGTAAAGAATTCTACTACACTACTCCAGTAACTTCAATGGCCTGGAGTTCTGACCATGCCAAGGAGGGGGGAAAAGGGAGCAACAGACCTTCAACAGTGACGCCTGGCACATGAAGTCCTTTGGTGGCAGCTGCCCTTTCATCTCAAATCCTTAAAATCCCCATTGCAGATTGTCTTGACTTTAACACAAAAACATCTACCATCCAGAGTTTTCAATCTAGTCAACTAAAGAAGTAGAATTTCAGGGGAATAGGAGAAATGGCTTGGAGCCATGGGTCATTCCTTTGGTTGACGTACAAGTCCATCTCCCTTATGATTACCTGGCATTCAATGTGTTTCTGACATAAAATCGAAGATTAACACGATTTCAAAAAAAAAGCAGGGCAGACAATGCCACTAGAACTTGTGTGTTTGCCAGGTCATCTGTCCTTTAGAACTCTGTCCTGTACAAAATATAGAAAAGCGAAACCATTCAGCGGCCCTTCAGACAGGAGACGTGAGGTGGCGTGAACCATCCCTTCTGTTCCGAGAACCAGCTGAGGCAGGAGCCACTAGGAACCTGAGTGCCCCTCATTCTGGTTGCCTAAGCGTGCTTCCTGAGGTGTGGGACATGTCTGTTTGTCTCCACTAAGGAGGGCGAGCCGTCAGCAGAATGCTAAGTAGCTCTTTCAGCGGTGCTGATTGATTTGCAGAGATGGCGCAGATGTGACCTCCTCAGTCAAAGTCAGTGTTTTCTTGGCCCTCAAAGTTTCAGAAAAATACAAATGTAAATGAAAAATAATGACAAGGCCCACATATAGCCCCAGATTCATTGCCTCAGCAATGATTAATGCCTGCTGGGTTTCCAGCACCCTGCTAGATGCTGACAATGACATAAAAATCATCAAAGGCAGAACTCCTGTTCTCCTCAATATTAATAATGACAAAGTAGCAAAATTTACATCGTTTTAAACATCACAGGATCATTTTCTTTGCCACATGTATTCTGCTTTTCAAATTAAAAACCAGCAGAGAAACGCAAGCATGACTTACACATAGTCTTCCCTTTGTCTCCAATGCCCTTTTATTCATCTGCCTGGAGGACCTCCATATATAATTCAAAGTCTAGCATGGCTGTCAGCTCAATGGCATGAAGTCTCAATGGCCATGTCCACACTGCAATCCCCACCACTGTATGCTCCCTTCGTACCCCATCCACGTGGCTGTAACTTGAGAAATTATTATAGGTATCTGGTTATGTGTCTGAATCCCCCACTTAGTGACCTCCTTTGGCTGAGGTTCTTCTAGACTCTGGCTGTTCTTTAGAATCATCTCCGGGTATGTTAAAAAATACAGAAGTTCAGGTACCAAACCAGACCCGCTGAGGCCTGCACATCTTTATTTTACTCTCCACAGGTGAGAGCCACACAAAGAATAATAGCAGAATACAAATCAAAATAGTACGTCCTTAATATCTGAGGCAAGATCCAATAACCCAGTGAAATGTTTCCACATTCAGAACACAGTGCTCCAGCTGGAGGCTGAAGTGAGCCTTCCATTTCTTTCCTACCACTTAAATCTAAATCTTGAGACCAGCACATTCAATTCTCCCTGTGCAAAGACGGGGTGGGAAGGAAAGATGGATGGCCAGATCTGCACAAAAGGCCTTGGCCTAACTTACCCACTCAGCTCTCTGCTCAGGGGAGTTGGAAAAGAAAAGAAGAGAAGCATGCCTGACCTGGACCAAGGAGACATACTGTGCCTGGGTTTATTTACCATGAGGCAAGGAGAGGAAAAATGAGATCATGTGTCCCTGGTCTACACAGTAACCCTGTCTAGGAGAAAACCACAGCCCAACGAACGTCCTAGTCTCAGACAAATCATGTTAAATACTCCTGTCCCCTTGTTGGAGGATCTGGAAAGTGAACAGAAGTGGACCTGGAATGTAAGGAGCAGCCTCAAATTACTTCGTCTTATCCCATTGGCTTCTTGTCAAAAGGCAGCCATCCTGAGGGCCAAGACCTCCATGCCCCGCTCAACTGCTGTATTTTCCCTTTTAGTCTATAAGTGTGTGTGTGTGTGTGTGTGTGTGTGTGTGTGTGTGTGTGTGTGTGTGTGTGTGGGGTGTGTTGGAGAGTGCTAGTAGTAGCTAGTGGGTAGAGCCCAGGGATGCTGCTAGACATCCTATGATGCACAGAAACAACTTTTTGCTGTTGTGTTGGAACAGTTCGTCCACAACAAAGAGTTGATCCAGCCCCAAATATCAATAATGCCAAGGTTGAGAAACCCTGGATTGGAAAGAATATCTATGGGGCCCTCACTTTTTACCACACAAAGAACCGTGTTCTTGTTTTTAATATTTATTTATTCGGCTGCACCGGGTCTTAGTTGCAGCACATGGGATCTTCGTTGGCACATGTGGGATCTTTTAGTTGCGGCACGCAGGCTCCTTAGTTGCGGCACGCGGGATCTAGTTCCCTGACCAGGGATTGAACCCAGGCCCCCTGCATTGGGAGCTCTGAGTCTTAACCACTGGACCACCAGGGAAGTCCCAGGAGCCTTGTTCTTTACATTATCCCGTGTAATTCTAACAGAAATTATCCCATGTAATTCTAACAGAAATCCATTGATGAAAATATAATCCCCATTTTCAGATGAAGAATCTAAAGCTCAGAGAAATGGAGTAGCCCCTGAAGGTCACAGATCTGGAAGGCAGCAGAAAGGGACTCACATCAGGGTTTCTAATTCCCTCTCACGTTCATTCCTCCACCACAGAGTCCCCTGTTTCCACCATGTCACTCCTCTCTCCCTTTCATGTCCCCATTGTCACTGGTAAAATTCAGGGTCTCTGGGGGCAAGGTCTTTTTGTAGGTCAGCCTACAACCACTTCCATTAGTTTAGGTTTCCTCTTCCTTTCGCCAGACTTTTGTGTAGACAAGATACAAATTTAGTGCTACCTAAGACAGGATACATTACAGAAGCATCGTCATGCCTTTACTTTTAAACTCAGCAATTTACTCATCCCGTTCTTGGAGGAATGTAGGCTCATCTTTAGCAGGCACTTCTGAAATAATGGTTGATTGTCAATGCAGATTACTTGGTCAAAAAGAAACAGCCAAAAACAAAAAGTGTTCAAAGAGAAAGCGTAGATGGGATTTTGGCCAAGTTAGATCTGATTTCAGCTACTTTCTAACTTGGACTTGCTTATTCCTCCGGCTCTGGTCCTTCATATTCTTTAACTCATCCTTCACTTAGTACGCTCCAGCCACAGGGACCTTCCTCAATTCCTCAAATACACCCAGTTCTTTCTTCAGGGTGTCCACTCATTCTCTGGCTTCTTCTAGAATGTGCTTCCCTCTACAATGCGTTTGGCTATCACCTGTCTTTTCGTTCAAGTCTCAACTTGGATGCCATTTCTTCAGAGAGGCCCTCCATTGACCTCCCCCAATCTCAATCAGCCTCTACTTTCATATCACTTGCTGCTATTTGTAGTACATTCTTGGTGGTGTTTATTAGTATAATGCCCAGCTCCCCACATAGGGGAAAGAGGTCTATGAGGGCAAAGGCCATGTCAGCTTGGTTTAACCAATGCTCAGCCCATAGCCTGCATCGAAAAGTATTTTTAAATGAATTAATAAATGACATTGGTTACTTTACTTAACGTTTACACCCATATCTATACAACGATGGTATGAATTTGAACTTTTTGAAGGTATCATTAGAATGAAATAAGAGGACATACCCTAAAGAGCCCAGTATAAGATAAGAGCCAACTAGGACAATAATTGGTGCTCCATAAATATTATTCAAGACCTGGGAGCTCTTATCTTAATTCTTTGACTAAATTATTTTCCATGTGACTTGGGGTAAATACTCTGCCTCTCTGTGCCTCCTCGTTTTCTTTTATTTTTAGGCCACACCATATGAAAACACTCAAAAAGCAGCAGTTTCCTCATTTTTCATTTGTACAGGTGCCTTTTATACAGGGAAGTAAAATATAATTCAGCAGTTTCCTCATTTTTCGTTTGTACAGGTGCCTTTTATACAGGGAAGTAAAATATAATTCAGCAGTTTCAGACATATCACAACATAGTGTGCAAGCAAGATAAAGAGAGGGAATTCTATCCCATGTAGTAAACAGTGATATTGATAAGGAGTAGAAAGATAATGCCCCCAATTATATTACAGCTTAGGGGGAAAGTCAAGCTCTAAGGGAGTGCTAGACCCCCACATTCTCTCTTACCCCTGACTTGGCTCCTGTCAGTTTTGCTTTCCTTGACACATTCCTGATAGGACTTTCGTGAGTTCAGCTTTACCTACTCAGCCTCGGGATGCGTTATCGAAAGGAGGTGGACTTTTTATCACCTGTGGTTACAAACAGCTGTTAGTTCAGCACCGCCCCCCCCCCCCCCCATCAAAAAAAATCTATAAACACATTCCTGGAATTGAACCAAGCTCAAAAGGGGTTGAAAATC